TTTTTTTTTTTTAAGTTCTACAGCTAAAACCAACCAAAAAAAAAATAATATAAGGTTTCTAAAGTCCTGTCCTAGGCGGGCTTAACGGGGTGGGGTGGGGAAAGGAGTCGGATGGGTGGGTGGGTCTCTGCTTTTTTTTCTTTTTTTTTTCTTTTTTTTTTTGTGTGTGTGTGTTTTTTTTCGTGGTGTTTTAATTTTCTTTTTAGTACTCGCTCAGGCTGTGCCACTTGGCCACGGCTTTCCTGGGGCTGTCGCAAACCTCCCGCCAGTGCTCGGCCCCCGCCGCCGTCCCGCTGTGGGCGCCCAGGATGAGCCTCCCCACCACCTCGTTCTTGGTGGTGCGGTCGAAGTCGATGACCAGGAACTCGACGCTGACGTCGGGCAGCAGCTCGGCCGGCACGTCGTAGATGAAGGACTCGTTGAAGACGGGGTTCAGCGTGCACTTCTTGACGTGCGTCTTCTTCTTGGCCACGCGCTTGCGGCCGTAGTAGACGTTCACCTTCACGTAGGGGTCTGCTGGTTGGGGACAGGGGGGGGACAGGGGGGACACTCATAACGCAGCCCAGGCGCACGGGGAGGGGGGCAGGGGGGGCAGCTCGTCCGGCAGGCTCTGAAATTCGGCGGCCGAGGGGTTGAATTATCTTAAATTTTTCAGATTAGAACCTGCTATTTGCATTTTTCGGGGTTGCCTGAAACACTGGGGTCCTGCAAAGGGGCGTTTTTACCAACAGGGCTCTAAAACTCAGTGAAGTTCTAAAGTTAAATCACTGAATTATCTTAAATTTTTCAGATTAGAACCTGCTGTTTGTGTTTTCGGGGCTGCCCGAAACGCTGGGGTCCTGCAGAGCATCGTTTCTCCCAACAGGGTTCTAAAACTCAGTGAAGTCCTAAAGTTAAGTGGCTGAATTATCTGGGTTTTTCAGATTAGAATTCATTATTTGTGTTTTTGGGGTTGCCCAAAACACTGGGGTCCTGCAAAGGGGCGTTTTTACCAACAGGCCTCTAAAACTCAGTGAAGTTCTAAAGTTAAATCGCTGAATTATCTTAAATTTTTCAGATTAGAACCTGCTATTTGTGTTTTTCGGGGTTGCCCGAAACGCTGGGGTCCTGCAGACCATCGTTTCTCCCAACAGGGCTCTAAAACTCAGTGAAGTCCTAAAGGAAGGAGCTAAACTATCTTAGTTTTCCAACAAGGCTCTAAAATTCAGCAGCCAAGTAGCTCAATTCTCTGGATTATTTTTAATTATAACCCATTATTTGTATCCTACATGGCTCAAAACACTGGGGTCCTGCAAAGGGGTGTTTTTACCAACAGGGCTCTAAAATTTAGTGAAGTCCTAAAGTTAAGTGGCTGAATTATGTTAAATTTTTCAGATTAGAACCTGCTGTTTGTGTTTTTGGGGCTGCCAAATACACTGGGGTCCTGCAAAGGGGCGTTTTTACCAACAGGGCTCTAAAACTCAGTGAAGTCCTAAAGTTAAATCACTGAATTATCTTAAATTTTTCAGATTAGAACCCAATATTTGCATTTTTTGGGGTTGCCTGAAACGCTGGGGTCCTGCAGAGCATCGTTTCTCCCAACAGGGCTCTAAAACTCAGTGAAGTCCCAAAGTTAAATCGCTGAATTATCTTAAATTTTTCAGATTAGAACCTGCTATTTGCATTTTTCGGGGTTGCCAAAACACTGGGGTCCTGCAAACGGGTTTTTTTTTCCAACAAGCCTCCAAAATTTAGTGAAGTCCTAAAGGAAGGAGCTAAATTATCTGCATTTTTTTTAGATTATAACCCATTATTTGCACCCCACAGAGGGCTCAGAGCAGCCTGGAATCCCTTGGATCCTGGAAAGGAGCACATTTTTTCCCCAACAAGACTCTAAAACTCAGTGGAGTTCTAAACTAAGTAACTGATTTATCTCAGTTTTTAAATTTTTCCCAGCAAGGCTCTAAAATTCAGCGGCCAAGCAGCTGAACAGGTCAATGAATTACAAATAAAGACTCTTGGAGGTGGAAAACCCCCGAGCCAGTGGGAGGCTCTGGAAGGGAAGGAAGTTTAGGGACAAAGCCTCCCTTGATGCAGACACTTGTTGGGGATTACAATGGAGACACCAGGCACTGAGGGCTTCTTTTTTTCTTTTTTTTTTTCCTCATTTCACTCAAGTTTT